TTCTGCTTTAACATTGTCCAAACGTGCAGTCCTATTGATGACTCAGGGTCCTAAAAGTGGCTGCCTCAGATACACGTGATCCAGGGCATCCTCAAACACAGCCCCAACAATAGTTTAAGCATGACAAATTCTGCAGGAAACCCCTTACATTAAACTTCTTTTCACTAATCTTCTCACATGTTTTTTTAATATCTTTGTTGCAGCCTTTAGTCCTTGCCATGGCAGACTGATTCCATTAAAATACATCAAAACAGATCCTATTGATTCCATGTCATCTCAGCACCTCTGTTCAATACAAAGATGTGCATTGATGCTAGCGTATCAGCAGTGCCAGTAAGATTTTTATCCATGGTATAAAAATCGTGTTGCCAACACGATCCATGGTATGTGTTGCCTCATCCTGTTGACTCTGTACTTATGGCCAAACCGAAATGAATAAGGAATAACTTATTACAGTGATGCCCAATACCCATTAGGAAGTTATCTGATATAATGTCTCTGTATATAACATTCTTTATGTGCACATATTCAATTCTACTGATCATCGGGTCAACTAACATCAGTACAGTTTTCATTACGGACCTCCTTGAACAGACACTGAGGAGGTGTCCAGGCTGGGCCCATACGATTCATGTCTTCCAGGCTGGGCCCAGCACAATCCATGACTAGCACACTGAAGTCTTTTTACTGACCGTACCTCCTTATGTAGGGCATGCCAACCACACCTTGAAGAATCTTATAGAGTTTGCTCTCCTGCAGCACAGGCATGCCACTTCCTCACCATTGGTGATGTCGATAACCAGATAAATGTCCCCGAAGGAGCCAGACCCAATTTTCGTACAATTTATATTTCCCTCCAACATGAATTTTGCCTTGGAGCCGGTGGATGAAGAGAGAGGCTGGGGCCACGCAACTACACCTCTGAGAGGAGGACGGAGGCCCCTGGCTGGTCCCAGGGCAAGACTGCAGAGGAGGGCGGGTCCAGAATGGGCCATGGGGAACCTGATAACTGTAGCTCAGTCGAGTTTCACCAGGCCGCAGTTTGTGAGGGGTCCTTGCAGTTCCCAGGCAGGGCACGGGTTGGACACAGGGAGTGGTGCATTAGGGTGGGGATACCACTGCCACCACTGACGCCAGCTCCCGCCCAGAGGGAACCTATCACTCTGCACTTACAGATGAGCGTTACACAAGGGAAAGTTCTATGGTGACGGAAATCTTCTACACTAGCACTGCCTGATATCCAGCTGAAGAGCTACACTTTTAAAAAATATATATTTTTATTGATTTCAGAGAGGAAGGGAGAAAGGAAAAGAGCTAGAAACACCAATGATGAGAGAATCATTAATCGGGCTGCCTTCTGCATGCCCCACACTGGGGATTGAGCCTGCAACCTGGGCATGTGCCGGTAAAGAAAATTCAACATATAGATAATAAACAATTTCAAAACACGGTACAGAACAAATTTAAGTTTTGAAGGAAACTTTCTGGAAATAAAAAATGATTAGAAACTCTACATTAAAAGAACATACTATATACCTAAAAAAACTGGCCCAGAACAATCACTGCTATATTACATTCTAGTAAACTATGACTTTAAAGAAATCCATTGGGCTTCTAGACAAAAAACCAAGAGACTCTTAAGGGAAAAAAATATACTATCATTTTTCTACAAGAAAGACATACACTAAAAGTAAATAAATATACTTAAGATAGTCAAGAAAGAAAAATATAAACCAACTATTTTATATACAGACTGTTATATAAACATGCAAAAACTCAAATACCATTTCCGTGAGCCCTTCCGGAGAAACCTACCAACAAGCAGCATCCGGAAAGCCAACTGACTAGAGACAGTTGGCAAAAGGAATGGTGGTGAACATTAAAGATATTATTATTTACATAAGCACAACTAAATGAGGATTAAAGGGAGATAGTATATGAAATGAAACATCTATGTTCTAGGTAGAATATACTCATTTTGTAGAATGGGGGGATGGAGAATAGGGATCACTAGGCCAAAAGAAAATTCTTTTATTGTATTCAGTAAATGTAATTGTGGCAATAGTATGACTCTTATTGTTAATGCTATTGTGTATGTAACATAGACAAACAAGTAATATTGAGACAGTCTAATTCTATCATCCCTTATATCTTTCAGAACTAAGATTCTCAATGTGGAAGAAAAGAAACATACATGTAACAAAGTAATCCTTAATTTAAATTGAAAATATCAGTATGAACTCATGATTTCATCTTTACATAGCTTTATATATTTTCTTAGTTTCCTTTGCCCTAGGCGATGTATCTGTAAACATATCACTCTGAGATTTTGCTGCCTATGGTTTCTTCTAGGATTTTTATGGTTTCACAACTTACATTTAAGTCTTTTTATACATTTTGAGTTTACTCTTGTGTATGGTGTAAGTTGGTGGTCTAGTTTCACTTTTTTGCATGTATCTATCCAAGTCTCCCAACACCATTTATTGAAGAAACTGTCTTTACTATGCAGCGGTAAAAAAGAAGTATCCCTTACGCTTTGAGACAGCATGGAGGGACCTGGAGAGTATCATCCTAAGCAAGAAAGACAAACATCACATAATCTCACTCATAGGTGGAATCTAATGAACAAAATAAACTGATGAACCAAATAGATCCAGATACATGGAAACATGGAACAGAGTGCAGAATCTCAGAGGGAAGGTGGGGTAGGGTGGGTGGGAGGTGATCAGTCAATGACCTTGTATGCATATATGAATAACCCATGGACACAGACAATAGGGTAGTGAAGGCCTGGGGCGGTGGGCGGGGGCAGGCTGGAGGGGCGCAATGGGGGGGAAAAGGGGACATATGTAATAGTTTTAAAAATAAAGAACTATTTTAAAATATTAAAAAATAAATAAAACCACAATGAGGTATCACTTCACACCTGTCAGAATGGCTAACATAAAAAACTCAACAAACAACAAGTGCTGGCAAGGATGTAGAGAAAAGAGAATACTAGTTCACTGCTGGTGGGAATGCAGATTGGTACAACTATTATGAAAAACAGTATGGATTTCCTTAAAAATTTAAAAATGGAACTCCTGTTTTATCCAGTTATTCCACTTCTAGGAATATATCCTAAAAACCTGAATCACCAATCAGAAAGAGTATATGCACCCCTATGTTCATAGCAGTGCTTACAATAGCTAAGATTTGGAAACAGCCCAAGTGCCCACCAGTAGATGAGTGGATAAAAAAGCTGTCAAACATTTACACCATGGAGCACATGCAACTGTAAGAAAGTAGGGTCTTTTACCCTTTGTGACATCATGGATGAATCTGAAGACTATTATGCTATGTGAAATAAGCCAATCTGAGAAAGATAAATATCACATGATTTCACTTATTTGTGGAATCTAATGAACAAAAATGAATTAACCAACAAAAGAAGACCGGAAGCAGGGAGGCATGGAACAGACTGATATACCTCAATGTGGGGGTGGGGTTTGAGAAGAAATAAACCAAAGAACTTATATACTTATATGCACAGCACATGGACACAGGCAGTAGGGTAGTGAAGACCTGGGCTCAGAGGAGCGGAGTAAAAGAGGAGAAATGGGAGATATCTGTAATACTATCTATATATATAAATGGCTAAGTAACCGACCGACCGTCCATCCGTTCGTCCGAATGACTGACCAGGGCCAGTACATATGACACACACTGGCAATTTAAAAATAAATGTTGACTCGCGTATGTGCGATACATATAAAGCTCTCGCAGGCAGCAATCACATGCATGTTTCAATCTGTCATTGTCGTTCGTGAATTTGATTGTTTTTGTTGACATAAGTCAAGCACCCTGAAAGTGTTTTTACTCTTAATGTGGTATACAAGGAGATATTAGAATGAGTTTAATCACTTCATCAGTCATTGTTTTTATCAATGTTGTTTTTATAACATGTTTTGTTGTTTTTATATCATGTTTTTGTTTTTATATAATGTCTTTGTTGTCATGTTGTTTATTTACTAATCAATTTATATGTTATTTTTATATACATTTTACTAATTTTCTTTCATCTGACACTTCTATTATAGAGAAAGAGCAAATAGTGATATTAAAATATTTCTTCTAATTAATTTCCTTTCAATGTGCACAAATTCATGCACCAGGCCACTAGTCAATAATAAAAATATATTTTTAGAAAAATCGAACAAGATCTGCAAATTGCATTAAGTTGACACATGTTTAATCTCTTTTGAAGTGTCTCCTTCCCACTTTCCCTTTCCATTTAACTTATTTGTTGAAGATATCAAATCATGTTACCCTAAAGTCTCCCGCATGCTCGATTTTCCTGACTGTACCACCCTGTGATACTGCCTCACATTTCACATTTCCCTATTTCCTGTGAACTGCTTTGAGATCTATAGGCTGTGATCAGAGTCAAGGTCCACTGGATTAGCAAGACCCTACCTCCTGCCCTGGTGAGTGTTCTAAGTGGTGAGAGCATCAGCCCACACACAGAAGGGTCTCAGGTTCAATTCCCAGTCAAAGGGCATGCACCTGGGTTCCGGGTTCGCTTCCCAACCCTGGGCAATCAAGGTTCATGCAGGAGGCAACCAGTCGATGTGTCTCTTTCACATCAATGTTTCTCTCTCTCTTTCTCTTCCCCCTTTCCCTTCCTTCCATACTCTGGAAAAGCAATAAAAAAAAATATCCTTAGCGATGATTAACAAAACAAAGACTACCTCCTAGGCTCTGTTGTACAAATGAAGTCTCGTAGTCTCTTTTTTTGTGTACATACTCTTTTTTTCATTCTTAAATAAAAATAAGTGCAATTATATTTCTTATAATATGTGGTTTGAAGATTTAACAACTTTGCTTATTTACAAACAAATCATAAATCCTAGAAAATTTTAGGCAGAAAAGTTACAGCTTTGCAATGCAACTACAATATATCCAATTATCATGCTATACAACCCTTAACAAATACTGTTATGTGTAAGCACTGAACTCACCTGTTGGAAGGCTTGAATTGTAGCAGAGTAGGAATGGAGAGACAGAGAAAATTTCAGCAAATTCTGCTGCAGAGGTGACAGAAACGGAAATGCAGCTCCCAATATTGCATGATAATAGGAGTAATCAGTGCCTGCCAAGGAAAAATATGAACCAAAATAATCATATGACTAGAGATATCCAAGTAAGATAGTTTGTAAGGTATAGAGGTATGGGATACAAAGACATATGAAAGCAGCATTTTACCAATATACTGTCTTGAACTATTGTCAGATGCTTCGAATTCCCTGGAGTACACAACGCAAGTGGACTTTCCCTCCCTTCTACCTTTTGTTCAGTCTTCCTTCCCCATGGGATTGCTAGTTACCTACTCCAAAAAGACACCCCCAATACCACCCATGCTTCACTGGACCACATACATCTTTTCTTTACTCTCATATTTCTTTGCTTACCACTTTCATTCACATTATTTACTAAATTATTCACTATCTACCCCACCCCATATAGTCTGAGTCCCCACAAGCAGAAACTATGACTTATTTGTCTTCGTATCCCTAGTGCCTGCTACATGTTATCTACTCAAATAACCCAACACTCCTGAGCCAGGTGATGAGGAAGTACAAGGTATTAAAAGATACTGATAAAACTACAGTTTGAGATAAAGCATTTAAACAAACAATTGGAACAAATTATCTAGGAAGAAAAAAGTACATGAACCAATATGAAAAAATCCCAAGGATATGTTGCTAAATGAAAAGCGCAACATATAAAGCAATCTATACCATAAGCTATCATTTTTCTAAGAAAGAATGAGAAATAAGAATACATATGTATTTGTTGCAAAAAAATTAAAGGCTAAACAAATTAAATTAAATGGTTATAAAAAATGGAAGAGAGGCCTAACTGGTTTGGCTCAGTGGATAGAGTGTCAGCCTGCGGACTGGAGGGTCCCAGGTTCGATTCCAATCACGGGCACGTACCTTGGTTGCGGGCACATCCCCAGTAGGGGGTGTGCAGGAGGCAGCTAATCGATGTTTCTCTCTCATCAATATTTCTAACTTTCTATCCCTCTCCCGTCCTCTCTGTAAAAAAATCAATAAAATATATATTTTTTAAAAATGGAAGAGAAACAAAAAGAGGGAGGCAACAAGATTTTTCTGTGTAAGTATAACCTTTCTCATAGCTTTTCTTTAGAAAATATTAACATTTTAAAAATCAAAATATAAAAGGTCATTCTGCATTAGCATCTAAGTAGAAAAAGAGATCACAAAGGACTATCTCAAAGTTGTGTCAGAATGTTAATGATGAATATCTTTGGGTGGTAGACTACAGATAATAATTCAAATAAAAAGTTTAACATACTTTTATGATCACTTCCAAGAATTCATACTCACATAATTCTAACCAAGAACACTACCATTTATATTGAAGACATGTCATTTATATGTCAAGAGTTCAAATTCATTATAAAGCCCACTTTATAATTTGTTTCATGAAATTATAAAATGTAAAATGATTTTTCTGATAACTCAAACAATTCTAGTTGACTCTGAATTACATAACTTAAACTTACAGATGCTTGTTCAAAATTGTTCTGTATTTATACCACAAAAAATTCAGACATAACTTTTTTAATACATATTGTTTGAATAAAAATCGAAGTTAAAATCAATTTAGTTTACTGTTAGCAGCGGCAGCAGTCACGAAATTTTTACATATTTTCTCTTAAAAAAAGGCGTATGTGCCTGTCAATGTAATACCAAGGTTTTAGCTACTCATATATGTCTTTAACTATTAATGTTTATACTCTATATAGCTTATATTGAATTAGAAAATGTATATAAAAGCACATCATAATCTGTAAACAAATGAGAAAATTTACACTGCAATTACTTGATACCTTGACACTCAAGCTGTGAGTGTCTGGCAGACATAACAGAAAACATTTTTGGTGGCACTAACTTAGTAATAACAAACTTGCCCTGGCCAGTGTTGTGCAGAGGTTAGAGCATCGGCCCACGCACTGAAGGGTCTCGGGTTCAATTCCCAGTCAAGGGCGTATATCTGGGTTGCAGACTGGATCCCAAGCCCAAGTTGGGGTACATGTGGGAGGCAACCAATTGATGTGTCCCTCTCACATTGATATTTTTCTCTCTGTGTCCCCCTCCCTCTCTTCCTTCCACTCTCTCTAACAATTAATGGAAAAAGTATCCTGAGGATTAACCAATAAATAAACAAACAAATAAATAAAAAAGTTAGACTTAACAGATAATAGATTGGTTATGTAATTGGTTCATAACAAAAAAAGTGAGTCAAATCTGATGGGTATTAACTTAATACTAAATGATTGTGACTTCCACAAAATAGTCACACATTTTTAATAAAACAAGACAAAAAGAAGAAGGTGAAAGTCAAGGATAGTGCTTAAAACCAAAGTTATAAACTTCAAAAATAATTATTAGTCTGTGTTGGCTCTGCTGGCTGCCATCATAACTCTAGTCATTAAGTTAAAAGTGGGTCCTAGTAACTGCCATGCCACACGTGCTCTGAAAGAGCGTTTTTCCAATATTTTCCCAGACAACGAAGTCAAAGCAGCATTGGCTTCAATTTACCGTGATGATCTGATGATCCAATATTTTGACTGGCTTCTACAAAATTCCAAAACTTCTCTTGACTGTCTTCTGCTAAAAACTCACTGCGAGAAAAATAAAATAACTTTAAAATAAAAATCTTTGAATATAAGCTCTATTACTAAAGAAAGGAAATTAAGTTTTTATGAGTTTCCAAATGTTCAGTTTATCTTTTAATTTATAATACAGACTAGAAGCTCGGAGCACGAAATTCGTGCATGGGTATGGTGCCTAGGCCTGGCCTCAATCAGAGCCATATTCCCTGGCTACCAGCAGCCTGCCCCACTCCCTGCCGCCACCCATCCCCAGTTCCTTGTTCGCCATCAGGCGATCTGAGCCTGCTGGATTGGGGGAGGGACCAAGAGGTTGGCCGGCTGGGGGCAGCTCCTGCATTGAGCGTCTGCCCCCTGGTGGTCAGTGCACGTCATAGTGACAGGTCATTTTGCCGTTCGTCGATTTGCATATTACCCTTTGATTATATAGGGTTATGTAAACATACATAATATACATATACATTTAATGATAAGCAAATATTACTAGCTAACTAGCTATTAATAATTTAATAGTTTAATGGATATTCCTTAGAAAAAAACTAGAATAAAATGAAACAGAGAAACAATAAAGAAGGCTAATGTGAACATGCTATCAGCGGTAGAAACAGAGTTAGAAGCTGGTAATTCATCCTGACCGGGTGGCTCACTTGACTGGAACGTCTTCATGTGCACCAAAGCCTTCTATTCCCAATCATGGCACACACCCAGGAGGCGGGTTTGATCCCAGATCTGGGAAAGAGCCGGAGGCAACCAATTGATGTTTCTCTCTTTCTCTCTCTCACTTCCTCTCTCTAAAATCAATTTTAAAATATTTTAAAGAAATAAATTTCTTTTTCTAGCACTAGTTCTGCTCACTTATTTTCTCGAAGACCTTACAAAGAACAAAAAAAATACGTTTTATCTAAGGATCTCCCAAGAAAAACATAAACCTCAGAAATTTTTCTAGAACTAAAGGCAGCATTTTATAATCCTATCTAATAAAAGAGAAACATGGTAATTAGCCGTACCTCCGCTACCCTTCCCATTGGCTAATCAATGCGATATGCAAATTAACTGCCACCAAGATGGCGGCCAGCAGCCAGGCAGCTTGAAGCGAACATGAGGCTTGCTTGCTTCAGTAACGGAGGACTCCAACGTTCCCCGCCTGCCGCTGCCGGCCTCTGAGCTTGCAGTTTGAAACATTATTGCAAATATAGAAGCTAAACAAAACCCCAGAAACCTGCTTTCAGCCAGCCGGGACCTCAGAGCTGGAGTTGAAACACTGTTTCGATTATAGAACCCAAACAAACCAGATACCTGTTTTCAGCAGCCGAGGCCTAAGAGCTGGAGCCAAGCCTCAGAGCTAAAGCTGGCCCAAAATAAAAAAAAAGAAAAAAAGGAGCAGTTGGGAGCTTCAGTCACCCGCCAGCCTGAAAACAGCCCTAAGCCCCTCACCCAGACTGGCCAGGCACCCCAGTGGGGACCCCAACCCTGAAGGGGGTGTGACCAGCTGCAAACAGCCATCATCCCCTCACCCAGGCTGGCCAGGCACCCCAGTGGGGACCCCCACCCTGATCCAGGACAACCTTCAGGGCAAACCAGCCGGCCCCCACACGTGCACCAGGCCTCTATCCTATATAGTAAAAGGGTAATATGCCTCCCAGCACCGGGATCAGCGGAGCCGCGAGGCCTCCCGGCACTGAGATCAGCGTGACAGGGGGCAGCGCCCAAATCCCCTGATCGCCCTGCGGCTCTGTGTGTGACAGGGGGCGGGGCCACAACCTCCCTATCCGCACTGCTCTGTTCGTGACCGGGGAAGGCGCCCCAACCCCCTGATCAGCCCTGCTCTGTGCCTGATAGGGGGGAGCTCCCCAACCCCCTGATCGCCCTGCGGCTCTGTGTGTGACAGGGTGCGACGCCGCAACACCCCCCCCCCCAACAGGACCTGCTCTGTGTGTGACGGGGTAGAGCCATAACCTCCCCATCGGCCCTGCCCTGAGTACAACAGTGGCGGCGCCCCAACCCCCTGATCCGCCCTGCTCTGTGTGTGACAGGGGGTGGAGCCCCAACTCCCCTATCGGCCCTACTCTGTGAGTGACAGGGGGGAGCTCCTCAACCCCCTGATCGGCCCTGCTCTGTGTGTGACAGGGTAAGGAGCCCCAACCCCCCTGATGGGCCCTGCTCTGTGAGTGACAGGGGGCAGCACCTCAACCCCCTTATCGGCCCTGCTCTGTGCGTGACAGGGGGTGGTGCCGCAACCTCCCTATCGACCCTGCCTTGAGTGTGACAGGGGGCGGTGCCCCAACACCCCAATCGGCCCTACCCTGAGAGTGACTGAGGGTGGCATCGCAACCACCCAATCTGCCCTGCTCTGTGTATGACAGGGGGCAGTGCCCCAACTCCCCAATTGGCCCTGCTCTGAGCCCGACCAGGGGCTGCACCCAGGGATTGGGCCTGCCCTCTGCCAGCCGGGAGCAGGCCTAAGCCAGCAGGTCGTTATCTCCCGTGGGGTCCCAGACTGCGAGAGGGCACAGGCCAGGCTGAGGGACCCCTCTCCACCCCGAGTGCACAAATTTTTGTGCACTGGGCCTCTAGTCCTATATAATAAAAGAGAAACATGCAAATTAACCGTCCATCCGCTACGTTCAAGCCATGCCCACAAGCCACACCCACCAGCCAATCAGGAGCAAATATGCAAATTAACCCAAGTAAGATGGCGGCAACAGAGCTGGAGCGAGCAGGAGGCTTCGTTTGCCCATGGTGATGAAGCCAAGCTTCCCGCCTGCCCGCATGCCCGCCTGCCTGGGGCCGGCCCTCAGCTCCTACCAAGGCTACAAAGTTTCAAGTATAGAAGATAAATAAATCCCAGGAAAAAAAGGAGAGGCTGGGAGCTTGGGTTGCTGGGGGACATGGCCAGCCTGAAAACAGCCATCAGCCCCTCACGCAGGCGTGCCAGGCACCCCAGCAGGACTCCCCCACCCTGAAGGGGTTGTGGGCAGCCTGAAAACGGTCCTCAGCCCCTCACCCAGGCTGGCCACACCCCCATGGGGTGAGGGTCCCCACTGGGGGGCTTGACCAGCCTGAAAACGGCCCTCTGCCCCTCACTCAGGCTGGCCAGGCACACCAGCAGGACCCCCACCCTGATCTGGGACACCCTTCAGGGCAAACCAGCTGGCCCCCACCCATGCACCAGGCCTCTATCCTATATAATAAAAGGGTAATATGCAAATTGACCCTAACAACAGAACGACTGGGAATGACTGGTCACTATGACACACACTGACCACGAAGGGACAGACGCTCAATGCAGGAGCTGCCCCCTGGTGGTCAGTGCGCTCCTACAGGGGAAGCTCTGCTCAGCCACAAGCCAGGCTGATGGCTGCCAGCACAGCGGTGGTGGCAGGAGCCTCTCCCACCTCCTCAACAGCACTAAGGATGTCCGACTGCAACTTAGGCCTGCTCCCCGCTGGCAAGTGGACATCCCTCGAGGGCTCCCGGGCTGCCAGAGGGATGTCTGACTGCCAGCTTAGGCCTGATCTCCCCGGGGAGTGGGCCTAAGCCAGCAGGTGGACATCTGTTGAGGGGTCCCAGACTGCGAGAGGGCACAGGCCAAGGTGAGGGACCGTCCCCCCCCCCCCCAAGTGCACAAATTTCTGTGCACCGGGCCTCTAGTCTTTTAATAGCCACAAATCCACATTCTTAAAATCACCAAATTTTAGTTTAAAGATAACACTGACCTAATGAAATCAGGTCTTAGAACTCAATGCCATTTTAATTTTCTTTTTTCTTTTTTTTTTCTTTACTTAACACTATTGATCTAAAATAATGACATTAAATTTTCATTCATTCAAGAGTCATTTATCCCTAAAAGAAAATGCATGTATTAAGTGAAAGATTCACATAAACTGGTTCTCTTCTCCTCCAGGGGTGATCTTTCATTGTCTGTAGGTGAGCGACAGTGGAGCTCAGCTTACCTAGCCAAAGGAAGACTTTCCCATTACTTGTCACACTCAGGTGTACAACTCTCACCCTACTTCACAGTTCAATACAGGTATATGGGGGAAATAGGAAACATTTCCTGGTAATGCACAGCTGCTCTAAAAACAGGTTTCTGAAAATAGCAGGATCATTATGTATAGAAGTATTTGGTGCCTCCCTAAGTGTGGCATTTTTCTAGGCTTTCTAGTAACTGACAAAGACTTCATACCAACCTGACAGTGGCTTACAGTGAAGAAGGCAGACACTAAGACAGATAGATTATGATATGCAGACAAATACCAAGTTCCTAAATTAAAGCTTCACTCACAAATGAGTGAGCAGAAGGGGGAAGGAATACACTGATCAACTGTATGATGAGAACAAGGATTCAGTGAGGCTAAGGCCCCCCTATAAAGGCTTACTGTAAGTAAATATATGCTTTTCAGGTAATTACAGGAAAACTTCTTAAACCATATATTCTTTTTCATCCCATTGCATCTAAATTTGTCTTAAGAAAAATAATTACTAGATCCACTGAACTAACTCAGGAAAGATAAGAACACAAGATACTATTAAAAGGCATGCTGACATTTGTTTACAGTACACTTAAGTTTGTTTGCTTTTTGTTTTAAATCGTTTGTTAGCTTCTTATATCTATTCCACTGAGTAAAAAAAAATATATATAGTTTTACAGATAAAATTATATGCTGTTTGGGATTTGCTTTAAAACATTATAGTGTGCTCGCTTCGGCAGCACATATACTAAAATTGGAACGATACAGAGAAGATTAGCATGGCCCCTGCGCAAGGATGACACGCAAATTCGAGAAGCGTTCCAAAAAAAATAAAAATAAAATAAAGCATTATAGCAGGGCTCAGTGGTTGAGTGTCGACCTAGCAACCAAGAGGTCTTGGTTCGATTCCTGGTCAGAGCACCTGCCCGGGTTGTGGGCTCAATCCCCAGCGGGGGTTGTGCAGGAGGCAGCCGATCGATGATGTTTCTATCTCATCGATGTTTCTATCAGTCTGTCCCTCTTCCTTTCTCTCTAAAAATC